ACACAGCCTGGGAGTGACCACAGCTTACTGCCCACCTGCCATCCCTCCAGAAATACTGATGCCTTATCCCATGTCTATGCAGGCCATGGCTACAGGCTCTTGGTAGGGGCACTAATGCTTGTCTGGTAGCCATATGACAAATATGTATCTATGTGTGGTGACAAGAGCTCGGAGGGGAATGCACAGGGAATATGACAGACCTTTAACAATCCTTCGGGTTGCAGTGGCTTCCAAGAGAAAACGACAACTGTGCAGAGGTTGGAGGGAGGAGTTAGAATCAACTAGGGAAACGCAAGGTGCAGGCAGAGAGAATGGAGATAACTCTCCTCACGGTTCTGGATCAGTAGCCACTCTGACCCCACTCATCACTGTGTCCTTTCTGTCAACCTCCCAGGACCTCAGAGCCTCTGGGTTTTCTGCCTACCTCGCCAGCTGTTCCTTTGCCAACCTCTGCTCCCCAGCCTTCAGCCACCGGGTGCCCCTGACTCTTCTCCATCTACACTCAGTCCTTAGTGACTGACTCAGTGTCACAATCGAAATCCCATCACCTATTCAAACACACGCTCTGGACAGTGTCTCCGGGCCCACTCTGCCCCTGATTTCAGGATCCTGTGACCTCCGCCCTGGCACCTCCTGCAGGAGTCCAGCAGTTGCCTGAAAGTCCACACGTCGGCTTGCACCTGAATGCCCTCCACTCGGCAGCCTTCACCTGGTGAGGCAGCACCTCCACCTTCCAGGACATCTTGCCAAAAGCACTGCCAAAGTTCACCCTTTACACAGAATGAAAGCATTCTGTCACACTTTGCATTTGATCTGCAAGGAAATCCAGACTCTGATCCTAAACCCTGCATTCACCCTGCTACCCATCGTCCTTCCCCCACTAGGTCATGGTCACTGTCCCTTAGCCAGTCTCCAGGCTTCCAACCCTCCAGCTGCTCTAGACACCTGTCATCACAATGTCTGGAGGATCCCTTTAAAACACACACCCAGGATCACTTCCCTGCTTGATCTGGGCGGGCCCTTCATTGCCCCTCTGACTGCCTCTCCTTCCAGCATCCTCTCAGCTCCACTCAGCAACATCCTTGTCCTCAGCTGTGCTCCTCAAACATGTGAGACATGTGCCTGCCCTGGGGGTGTGCAGGCCACTGCCTGCCCGAAGCCCTTCCCTGTGGGTGTTTCCTCATGGCCCCTTCCCTCACTTACCACTCATGGGGCTTCCTCTGACCACCATGGTTAGAATTGCACCTGCAGCCCCAGTAATGTGATGCTCCTCGCTCTGCCCCCACTCCATGCATCATCTCCTAACACATTGGCTTTCCCAGTTTTCCTGAGGTGTAATTTACATACAGTCACTGCGTCCTCTTTGAGTGTCCAGATAGATGAGGGTGTGTGATTCACACTGTTTTCATGTTTAGCGTTTGCCTCTCTTCCCCCTCCAGAGTGTGAGGTTTTGAGGTGGGTGGCAGTGGGGACCCAGCCTGGTTCTGACCAAAGGTCCATCCAAAGGGTGCCATGTAGAAAGGAAGCCCCTTCCAACAGCCAAGCGTGAACACAACTCGTCGGTGTGAGGAAGGCACGGACACGTGTCCCAGTTCACCTGCCTCAGTCCCGTGTCTGTAATGAACACAGGTGCTCCTGCAGCCTCGGAAAGTGAGTCACCCTTTCCTCTGTCCACCCAGCCAGAATGCCCATCCACTGGCTCTCTGACGTCGCATCCACTCTCTGCTGGCCATGTACACAATTGTTGATTTCAGATGCTGACCACACTCATAGTCTACATCTAAACTAGCAAAAAGGTCACCTCTGCCCACAGATCTGTGACTAACCAGGCCATGACACAATTTCTGATTCGACTACATTCTCATTGGCAACAGGCATGCTTAGACAGAGATCGTCTGTTAGACTACACAGGGCACGGTGATTGAGAACACACCTGTGTCTACACTGGCAATGGGTGCCATCATCAACAGTAGGCTCATGTCTACACTGGCAGCAGGCACAGTCCCTTTCATCTGACAGAGGGCACCACCAGGGAACAAAGACCAGTCGCGAGCACGCGTGCCACACATCACCCACGGAGGGTGGACACAGGACCATGTTCCAAAGGACACAGGTTCCTTTCCAGGGAGGAGGAGACATCCCTCCCCACCCCCCGGGCCAGCCAGCTGTCAGCTCGAGTCCTGCCAATGGGGCAGGACTGCCAATGGAATGGGAATTCAAACCTGATGTAGGTGCTGGAGTGCGGAATCTGGGGTCTGGAGTCTGGGACAGCATGGCGAGGAGATGAGACCATGTCTATTCCCAGTGTCTTGAGATCATGCAAGGTGAGGAGAGACTCAGGCTGTGTGACTCCTAGTGCCGCCCGCTTCCCCCACTCCCGACGCACACACACCCAGGCTGGCCCAGCCAGCCCAGGCTTAAAAAAGCACCAGGAAATGTCACTTTCTTTTTGGGAAGGTGTGATGGGAGGAGATGGCCAGGGCAGTTTTAGCAGCCGGTTTATTCAAAGGTTGGGAACAGTGACAGTACCTCCAAAGCCAGAAGTTATTTTGTCCCTAGACCAGACCCAAGTCCCTTCCCCGGCACATGTGAGCCTGCTTCGTGCCAGGCCAGAGGCCCCAAATTACATGATGGCTCAGCCAGGCTGGGACAGAAACCATATTATCCTGTGCCTGCAAGGTTGGGACCAGAGCTGTGGCCTGAGTGGACTCCAGGGCCCAGGGTCCTGTGTCCAGCTGCCCGCAGTGCCACTGTGCCAGGCTGGCTCAAGGTGGTAACCCTGGACTACAGCACTGATTGCTCACTGTTTGGCCCAGGACAGACCATCGAGAGTGGGCTCTTCCTGAGAGAAGAAAGCCCCAAGGACACCCGACCACCAGCCTCCATCCATTTGATCGTAAAATATTTATGGGGCACCTATTATGCACAGGCACTTCCCACAACCACTCACGCAATAACAGCTTTAAATAAGGCCTCCAGCACAGAGCTAGGTCCACAGCAGGGCCTCAATAGTGCTGACGCCGACCATTATCTGGAGCCGGGCCACCCTAAGCACTCTTACGTGCCCCACCTCATTCAGCCCTACCCCGGCTCTGAGGTCCATGCTTGGCCACCTTCCCAATTTTACAAAGCAGAAAAATGAGGCTTCGAGAGGTTAACTAAGTTGCGCCCAGGAGCAGACAGCAGGGAAGTGACAGAGTACGAATCTGAAACCCATTTTTTTTGTCTGGCTGCAGAACAAGGCGCTCAGCCACCCTTCCAGTGCCCCCCGCTTCCCAAGCAAACATTTACTGAATGCATGAATGAGTGGACGAGCTGATGGGAGTGTGTGTCCATGTGTGCAAGGCCACTGCAGTGCATGAGTGTGGGGAGCGTGTGTGTGCAGATGTGTGTGTTTGCATGGGCAGCTTTTTCAGGGTAAGGCTTTCCCCTGTTGTCTCTGTCCTGTGTGTGCTGGAGCTATACTTAGCTGCCGCCGTGACTGTAATGAGCAGTTAGCTGTGCACCAGGCACTCACTGGGACCTGGTTTCCCTGGGAGATCGCCGGGGCCAGTGTATGTGTGTGGGGGTGCCTGGTAGGGCTGGGGAGCTCCAGAGCAGGGCTGGTGGGGGGAGCCTGGAGCTCCAAGCACTGCACCTCATGCAAATGGAGAGAGCGCCTTGGCTCCAGCTGGAAGAACAAATACGGTTCCAGGCCTGCAGCACTGAAGCCAAGCTCAGCTATCCCCCCAACCCCCAGGCCCACAGACCCTTTCTGGGCAATTAAAACTGAGGGCTTGGAGCTTCTCTAGCTGCTGGGGGAAACAGCAAAACAACAGAAATGTCAGGCACAGTGATGCACACCTGTAATCCCAGCTACTTGGGAGACTGAGGCAGGAGGAGTCTTGCAAACTCAAGGCTAGCCCAGGGCACTTGGGGAAACTGTCTCAAAAGAAGAAAAAAAAACCCCAAACCGTCAGGGGATGGGAATTAGCTCAGTGTAAGGGCCTTGGGTTCAATCCTTAGTACTGAAAAAAAAAGCAGCAGGTATAATAACCAAGCCAGGGCCCAGGAAGCCCTCTCCTTGGTGCCATCTCTTGTGCCAGCAGGGCTGCTTGGCTGCAGTGTCTGGGTTGCTGCTCACCAGGGGTAGGCACCTGAGGAGGACGAGTGCCTTTCTTCCCCAGAGCAGAATAGAACCACAGGGGTGATCAGCACGTCCTGGGGTGCAGAGGCCAGTCGCCCACTGCGTCAGCCACCAGTAGCTTCAGGGGGAGCCTGGTCTGGAAGCCCCAGATTCCCCTCTCCCCACTGCCTTCCACCCTCAGCCCTCAGCTTCCAGTCCCATCTTGTAGGATGCTTCCACGGAATGCGAGCCCAGACTTCCTCTCCCTCTGTGAAGGCAAGCAACAGAAATATAACCCATTCCACTACCCACTCCTGTGCGTCCATCCATCCACATCCTTCCTTCTGTCCACGCACCCACCCTCTCACCCCATTCTTTATCCATTTGTCTCCCCATCCAACCGTGTCACCCTTGACCAGGAACCACAGCATGTCAAAGCAGAGGGAACGCTGGCACGGCTCCAGTTTACCTTCTTAATTTTCAAAAAAGATTCGGGACCTAACCATCCTACTATCTACTAACAAGATGATCTTAGTCCAATAAATCATCTTTCCAGACCATTTTTCCTTCGTCAGTAAAATGGGTACAACTTCTGATTCTTCCACCTCACAGGGCTGTTGGGTCAGCAAAGATTTATTTATTTTCTCTTATGTAATGGGCACTCCCATTGCCCGAGCTGCTCTTGGTCCTGTCAAAGGTTATGGCTGAGTCCGTGAAACATAAACGGGACCCAAGAAGGTCAGTGGAGGAAGAGCCTAAAGTCAGTCGGGAAAGGCTTTCTGGGAGCATCAAGGCTCTCCAGGAGGGAGGATCAGGAAAAGCTTCCAAGAACGCTGCTTGAGATGTACAGCGGGGGAGGGAGGGCATCCTTGGCACAGGAAGCAGGTATGGGGGGCTGGAGTCTGCCTGGAAAGGCCAAGGGGCCCAGAGGCCAAGGCTAGGGGTCTGCAAAAGCAGGTTGTGTGGGTTCTCTTCCGAGAGGAGTCCAATGCGCTCTGGAGAGGGCTGGGACGCCACAACCTCGGCCAGCCAGGGCAACCCTCGTGATTCCTAACTCCAAGGCTTGCACTCAAATCCCCAGACTGCCAGAGAGGGAAATATATCTGCTGGTGACAGCCAGGCCTCAGGAGACACAATTCCTGCTGCTTAGAAGGGAATCCAGCACCTGGCATTTCTGACCTTTGTGCCACTAAATGTATCACTGGTGATGGTGGTTCGCGGCCCTGAGGCTGAGGAGCCACCAGATGAGACTTCCATGGCCTCCTCCTCTGTCTTTGGGGCTCAGCCAGGGCTCTCTAGACCCTGGGGAACGTGCAGCAAGGACCAAGTGACAGTGGTGCTCCAGGCAGCTGGATCCTCCCCTCAGGAAGGAGCTCCCGGAGCCAGGCACTGTGCTAGGCAGTGCCCCTCAGAGGCACACCCTGCTGTGAAGCACACCGTGTCACATAGGAAGGGCCTGGGCACAGTTAGCTGTCACCTGCTGGATTCCATGCTGAGCAGAGGGGAGACCACACCCCAGTCCTGGCCAGGTCCAAAGGCCTGTGCTGTCTCCCCTGCCCTGCCCTCTCCCCACACTCCCCTTATCCTTGAGACTGTGGTCTCTTCCCTGACAAGGAACCAGATTTCCTCCCTCAAATCGTTTCTCTGCCTCTGGCCTTACTGGATTCTCCAGCCTCTCCGAAAGGTGGGTGACACCATTATGTCCACTCTGTAGATTAGGGAATGACAGCCCCGAAATCAGGGCCCATGCTCCAAGTACGTGGCCAAGTTAGGAGCATCTGTGATGACACAGGGGAAGCCCACGACACAGGGCCGACCCCCAGGAATGACTGCCACGAGAGCCAGCTGCAGCCTCACCCTGGGGCTCTAGCTGGCTCCGTGTGGCCCAGCAGGTGACCATGTTCTGCACAGTTGCCCACAGAGCCTCTGAAGTTGCACATAAAAAATTAGTCTCTGAGTGGTGAGGCGTAGCCCTGGCGGGTAGCTGCAGTCTAAAACATGTACACCACCCTGGGGTGGTGACAGAGCCGAAGGGAGCCACTTTACCGACTGACTGGGCAGAGAAAGTCTCCAGCAAACCACCACATAGGCCTGGGTCCCAGCAGTCTCCCCAGTTACACCAGCCCCCTTGGTAGACATCAGGTTCCAGTTCTCAGAGCCCCCGGGATGGACAAGACGGCATCCGCAGAGCATCCTACAGTGAAGCCAACTCAGCTGAAAAACGCAGAGAGGGGGTTGAACCCGGGACTTCACACTGAGCTATGTCCCCACCCACTTTTCTTCTTTTGAGACAGGGTCTCCATAAGTTGCCCAACACTGGGCTTGAACTTGAAATGCTCTGTGATGATGTGGCAGGGGGCCCTCTATGGGGCCCAGCCCATGCAGGTACCTGTGTCTTCAGGAGGCCACCACCACTGTAAGCCCCACCATGCCCTGGGCTACTATGCTCCAGGAACCCACAGGAACTGGCCCAGCAAGGCCAGATCCCACAGTGGCTCTGACGGCTACTCCCAACGACCCCCGATTCTGACAAGCCGCTCAGGGTACTGCTCCCCTCCTCCCCACCACACCAGCTAGCGGGCCACCTCCAGCACTCTCAGCTCCCTGGCTCCTTCCTTCCGCTACAGTCCCCAGGGTGCCCACAGCCTAGGTAGCCACTTTCTTCGCCTCCTCCCTGCACTGAATATGTGGACCGGAGGGCAACCATTTCATTCCCGGCTCTACTCCCACCTTCTAGAGCAGAGCCTGCCACATAGTAGGTACTAGCACAGAACAGATGCTCATAAATATCTGTTGGATGAATGGCTGAGTGAGTGCTAAATAGCTGCCCCAGTGGGGACACTACTCAGACAAGTGGGGTTTGTGGGGGGGTGCTGGGGGTTGAACCCAGGATCACTCTACTGCTGAGCTATATTTACAGCCTTTATTTAACTTTTTTAAATTCTGAGACAGGGTCTAAGTTGCCCTCATGGGACTTGAACTTGAGGTCTTCTGGCCTCAGCCTCCCTAGTTCTGGAACGGCAGGCATGAACCACCATCCCTGCTCAAAGTAGCTATCTGTGCACTTGGGGGTGCAAGAGAGGAGCCCCTTCTGAGGTTGCTGTGGCGGAGGGGAGAGGGTACACTGTGAGCCAGGCTGGCAGGCCACGGAGAGGAGAGTCTGGGTAGGTAGAGCGAGGGCAGAAGGGGCATATGAGTCCTCGCACGGCATTTGGCTGCCACTGCTTAGGCCATGCTGCGTCTGAGCCTGGGCACAGTGAGGCTGGCTGTGGAGGGCCTGTGCTCAGCTGTCCAGGGCTGCCCCGGCTAATATTAGCCTGCCCCACCCAGCCTGGCGTCGGCCTGGCGGGGTAGCTGAGTCAGAGTGGGCCCGGCCACTGGCACCCATGGGAGCCCCCACCCCAGGGGCCCAGAGCTCTGGGGTCTGCCCGCCCCTGGCTGCTGCTGCTCCCCTTAAGGTGCCCGGAGCCAGGCCGCATGGCCCCTGCCACCAGCCTCACCACACTGGCCCACTCTCCAGTGTCTCAGGTCCCTGTGCTTGGCCCCTGGCCAGAGTCTGATGTCAGCGGCCCTCCTTCCCTCACTGGCAGGCGGAAGTTCGTCATCCCTCTCTCACAGGGCAGGCAGGAAGAGCGGGGGGAGTTACCCCATTACAGCAGATGGGAGACTGAGGCAGAGGGGCGTATACACTGCCTGTGATGCCCAGGGCATTTCTGGCAGAATCCAGAGACTCCAAGCCTGTCTCCCAGGAAATCTGGCTCCCCTCTGGAAGAGGGGGCCCCTGGGACCAGGGTTAGGGAAGTGACCTCTAGAAGGTATTTGTAAGGAGAGCCAGAAGCTGAGAAAGGAAGCAGGTGGGGGAACAGGTGTAGGTTTAGATCTTCTAGGGCCAAGAGCTCCTCAAAAGAAGATAATGGAACCCACAATAATTAAGCACTTATTACGTTCTGGGTTCTGGGCTAAGTGCTTAACACATTTAATCCTCCTGACTTCCCTATGAGTCAGGTGCTATTAATATCCTTCTCTTAAGGCACAGACGGGTTAGGGAACTTGTGCAAGGTCACACAGCTGGGACTCCGAAGGCCTCCTAGCTCAAAAGGCCCTGCTCTTAGGCCAGAAAGGAACTCTGGGTCACACTGCCAAGGTCAAGCAGCCAGGAAGCAGTGAGAAGTGGCGGGCAATGTGAAGCCCACACATCTTTTCATTGAACACACGACTGAGGCTCAAAGCAGGGCATCTGGGACAAAAGACATCCTGGGCCTTCAAGAAGAAGTGTCTGTTTTGAAAGCCAGTGACTAATACCTAGAACTTCCACAAACACACTGAGAGGAAAGAGGACAATGAGAGAGGGCCGGGAGAGGTGAAAAAACACCGGGCTGGTCTTCAGGAGAGTCCCTGAGTGTAGGACTTGGAGGCGAGGCTGTGTCAAGGGTGGCTTGAGAACCGTGCATCTTGGCTTTGAAGAACAGTGCCTGGGCCTCTGAGCTCTGGTTGCAAGTGGTGGGGCTGACGTAGTGTGAAGCAAGAATTTGGAGATTTGGTGGGGCTGGGATGTGAGGACTTTGCCTGGTCCGGAGTGGTGACAATGGCAGGCGGCACTCTGTCCTGGCTGGAGCATCCTGGTGGGCCCAGCACTGCCCCGCCATTTCCTGTTTGTGACTGGTCTGGCCCCAGAGAGGGAGAGGGAGATCCTGTGACCCCAGGAAGGAGGGGATTGCCATGGAGGGACTCAGATTTGACCTTAGTTTAGAATCCCACCCTGTTTCCCCATTTTTCCAATCAGTATTTATGTAGCACCCCTTTCCACTGGGCCCTGCTCTAGGTTCTAAGGGAGACCAGAAAACAGAATGAAACAGGCAGATGGCAGCCTCGGCCCGACTACGGATGCCGAAGGGGCTACGGAAGAGCGGTGAGGTCTCAGCCATAATCCAGGGGCAAGAAGATGAGCATGGTCAGGGAGGTGGCAGTGGTGGCGATGGGATGCAGTGGAATTCTGGGCCTTTTAAGCATGGAGATAATAGCATGTGCTGATGTGTGGGAGAAAGAGCCCAGAGCGGTCCCCAAGGCTTTGGATCCGTGTGGCCGGTTGGAGGCTGTGGCCATTTACTGTGATGGGTCCTCACTCCTGAGTCCTGTCACTCTGCCACCAACAATTCAGCCACAAGGAAGATGAAGATCATCCTCGCAGCTCTGTCAACTTGCACGCACCCACCCAGCCCTCTGTGCATCCTGATGCTTTGCCTCAGCTGGTAACCACGGCCTGCATCAGCACTTCTCAGACCCAAATGTGCATGAATCATCCGGGAGCTTGTTAAAATGCAGATTCTGAGTCAGGAGATTTGGGCTGGGGCCTGAGATGCTTCATTTCTAACAAGCCTGGCTAATGATGCTGCTGGTCAGGAGGCCACACACCCCAGGCCCATGGCAGCGTCTCCATCACCAACATCAGCATTGCCTGGGGGTGGGGCACAGAACTCAGAATCAGATGCTCCCAGGACACTAAGAGTCTGGGCTTTGCGAAGTATCCAAGGTAGAGTCGAGGGTCCTCTATAGGTGGGAGTCCTCTGGCAACTGCTCCTATAGCCCCCAGGGCAGCCAATGCCAACACCCTTGCCCCAGTCCTGGTGCCAATGTAGCACAGCACCCACACCCAAGGCCCTCTCCTTGGTGCCCTGGAGCCGGATGCAGGAGCTCCCTGAGTGGACTTCTGCAGCTCCCTGAGGGCTGGCAGCCAGGAAAAAGGCCTGCAGGAGAGAGTGATGGGCTCTGGGCTGGAGCAAGCACACCCTCAAGAGGTGGTACCTCAGGTCCGTGCCTGCCAGAGTGCTGGTGAGACTACCAGGCAGGGGTGTGAGTACTGCGCCTTGAATGAATGAATGAATGAATGAACGCATGGGCAGTTTGAGGAAGGCTGAATGAATGGAGGGGAAGCTCTTCAGGCTTCTGAACTTTCCCCCTAGGCCAGTGGTGGTGAACCTATGGCATGCCTGCTGAAGGAGGCTTTTGTTATCATTGAAAGCTTAAAGGGTTTGCCACCGCTGCTCTGGGCTCATCTGCATCCTTCCTGTGAAATGCAGCATTAGCAAGAGAACCTTGTTAGATCATCTTTGCTAGAACCCCCATTCTTAATATTGAGTCACCTTGCAGAGCTGGCTGATCAGGTTCCTTCACCATCCCCGGCTACCCTGGCCTGGCTACAGCAACAACCCTGGCAGGTGGCTTTGGTCAGAATGCACCTTATCCCTGCTGGTTTCTGGTAGTAATTTTCCGCCCGCTGACCCCTCCCCTGAGCTCCTACCCACTTGGTGCCAGGACCCTTGCCTGGAGAGCTCTCTGTCCTTCAGAGAAGCTTGACAGGTGTGGAAAGAGAGGGAAGGAAGGACACACTGGTCCTCCCACCTCTCCTGGAAAGCTGTAGCCCAGAGTGCTCGGACTGCCCTCTGTGTAGTACAGGAGGAGATGCTGCTGCCTCTGCAGCATGGGTCTTACCCAAGAAGCCCAGGTGGTCCATTGCCCACAACAGGGGTTTTGTTTGTGGCCTCACCTCTCCACACACCCAGGCCAGTCCCTGCCTGACCCAGCCTCCACTCTCCAGAGCTGACCCACGGACTTCCAGCTCGAATCATGTGAGCTGGATGACTGGGAGCCCAGCCCAGAGAGCTCAGCCCCAAAGGAAGGGTCAGCAAGGGCAGGCACAGACAGTGTAAGTGGTAAGGCCTAGAGGGATGTATGGCACATTCACAAAAAGCAGAAAGGACACTGTGAATAGATGAGCAAGAACCCAGAGGTTAAAATGAGAGCTGAAATTGAAGAGGCCAGGGAGGAGCCTGGCAGAAGCAACCAGCAGGAGACATGGCCAGGGGCCAGAGCAGAAGGCCTCGAATGCCGAGCTCAGGAACAGCCAGCATTCCTTCCGCGCATTGCCTCACAGGAGATAACTGCTCATCGTCTTCAGTCTCTCTGCCATTTCCTGCCACTCTGGGCCTGTACAGATGGGGTGGGAGGCAGCACCCCCTTCACTCAGCTAGATACAGCCCTCACCTACCCTAACCCAGGGCTAGAATTTGCTGAGCAGGACCCTTGTCCTCCTTGGGAGTGGATGTGTGGCAGGCTGCAGACCCCAGCTCCTCTGGATCACAGCCAGGAAGCAGCCTGATGTGGAGGCCATACACAGCTTCAGGGCCAGGGAGACTGAGTGCTGGTTGCACCACTCACGCTCTGAGTGACTCTCTGAGCCAAGGCAGCCTTGCTGTGACACTGTGACACTGATGTGATACCAATAATGCAGTCCTGCTGGAGCCTGGACTCCAAAGGTAAATCCAGCCTTTGAGACCGTGTCTGACACATCGTTAAGTACCATTAGTATCACGATTGAGGAGAGTAAAGGTACTCTGAAAAATCCTGCGTGTGGTGCTAAGGTTGTGGGCCATGACCAGGTTAACTGACCCACAGAGGTTTCGCCAGCCTTTCGTGTGGGGCCTGGGAGGACCGGGAACTGCTTATTCTCCTCCTCCAGGAGGAGATCATGGGAGTAAGAGAGGAACAGAATTCCCAGGTAAACTTTGGGGTTTTGTAAAAACTGAGAGCCAGAAGAAATACAGGTGACCAGGCCCTGGGCTAGGAGGCATGGTCTGTGAATTTAACTTTCTCTGATTCCCTGTGTGGTCTTGGGCAAATGTCTTCGTTGCTCTGAGCCCACACTGGATAAGGATAGTAATAAAGATTCTTTCCTTGGCCAAACTATAGTCAGGCTTCTGAACTTTCCTAGGCCCATCTGTACACTTCCTATGAAATGCAGCTTTAGTAAGAACCTTGTGAAGTCAGGTAAGCCAGAGCTCCCATCTTTGATAACAGATGACCTTCCCTAGCTGATCAGTTCCGTCTCCATCCCTCAGCAATGTCTGGCCACCCTGGTGCGGCTTCGGCGAGAGCCCTGGCAAGTTACTTCTGTCGGAATCCTCTAACCCCCACTCTTTCCTGGTGGCAGTTTTCCATTGACTGACCCCACCCTGCTCCTTGGCTATGGATTCCCACTTGCCCGTGTGTATTCAGAGTTGAACACAATCTCTCCCCGCAGCTGCAAGACCCTATTACAATGGTCCCTGCCCCCATCCTGATGGCCCTGGGTAGAGCCTGCCTGCCATGCTTTCCACATAACACTGAGAACTCTTCTCTGTAGCAGCAGTGACTAGAGGAGACGGGAGCAGCCCAGGCATATGGAAAGCGGTCCCACCCACCCAAGGGTTCCCCTGAACAAAGGCTGAGCAGTGAACTGTCTCGGAATCCTCTCTTTTCCTGAGTGTCCTCTAGGGATGGGAGCTGGAACTGGGGTTGTGGCGAGGCTGGCCCAGGAGCTGACAGGACACAGCTCAAGACCCTGACCTTTTGGTCCAGAGTGAATCCATTGGTCATGAGACTGCTCAGAATAGCCTGAGGTACTATATTCAGCTGTTGTGGGAAGCCTGAGGTCCCCATCTCTGAGACAACCCACATCCCTGCCCGAGAGAGAGACTTGAGCCAGTCTCCTCTCAAGCTCCCAGCAGACGCCAGACTTCCCGAGTAGATTCCTGCCCCGGGGTTTCGGACTCCAACATCCTCCCAGGAACATCTCAAAGTGCCCGTCAGTTTCTGAAGTAGCCCCTCCAGCTAACTTTGTTCACGTGTGACCTCAGCAAAACACTCCTCTCTGGTCCTCCTCTCCCTCTTCGGTCATAACAAGAACTCCCATATTGAGAAGACTACTCGTGAACATTTTATTACAAAACAGATAGCTGCTCTGAAGGGAAGGACTCTGCTCTGAACCCTTACCCAGCATGTGGGCTCCAGGAAGAGCACTACTGAGGAAGAACAAAGAGGTGAGCTCAGAGGAAAGTGTGCTCCAAGGGAATGGCACATCCAAAGGCCCTGAGGCAGAGGAACCTGTGGGCCACAGGTGGTCCGAGCTTGAGAGCACTGAATACAGCCAGGCCAGAGGAGACTGAGAAAGAGGCAGAGCCTTAGAGGCCATGGCATGGGCCAGCGGAGTCCTGAAGTGTCTTCCACAGGCAAGGTGGGGACCTGACAGATTTATTAGTAGAAAAGACCTCTGTGGTTGCCAAGTGATAAATGGAGTGGAGGGCCCAGGGGCTAGAAGTGGGACAGCAGTCAGGAAGCTACAGGCTGGGCACCTGAGGAAGAGTAGTGGCTAGAGACAGGGTGGTGGAGACAGAAACGGAGCGAAGAAAATGGAGTCTAGAGATGGTCAGGGGGTAAAATCATGATCCAACCAACCACAATAATAGCAGCCAACATTTACTGAGCATTTACTGTGTGCCTGTGGCTATCTGTGATCTCCTCTGTGAATCTCCACCAGGCTGTGGGGACGGGTGCCTCTGACTAGCAGGTATTTGGTCTGTGATTTTTATTACTGGAAGAGGAGTGGGAGGTGCCACCTTTGGGGTGACGGGGTGGGGGCGCGAGTCCCTTCTCCACTGCTGATGGGTCTCCTCCACACGTGAGCATGACTCAAAGTGAGCCCTAGCCTGGGGTCCAGAGCTGAGGAATGTGGTGCCCAGGAAGCACCTGGTAACAGTCCTGTCCCCCATCCTACCTCAAGCCACACCAGGACTCCAAGAGCTCGGTGTCAGCTGGGACCCTGGCTGGGCTCTGCACTGCAGCCACCAGGGGAATCCCTTCCCAGGGATGAGGGGTGCATCAGGGCCGCGTCAGGTCCCAAAGAGAGAGGGACAAAGTAGAGACAGACATGAGACCACGGGTCCCAGGAGAGGGGGGCAGTGGAGTGGATGGAGGCAGGGCTTCCCCAGCTCAGAGACCGCCGGCACTTTGGCGTTTGGGAGGTCAAATGGCCGTGGCAGACAGAAGTCACCACACCAGCCACACAGAACCACATCCATAATGGGGCATTCTCTACCTTGCAGCCTCGGGAGTCATTAGCTCTGAGCCAACACGGCACAGTGCTACTGGTGATGACGTACAAATCACAGACCCAGGCCAAGGGCCTCAGACCTGAAATGGCCACCAAGGAAGAGAGGAGGGTGAGTTTCAAGCTGGCTGCCCCAGCACACCTGCTCTGACACCTCTGTGACTTCCAGGACTGCCCGTCCTTGCCCTCTGCCTGGCTGAGTCCTGCTGCCCCCTCCGTGCCTGCCACAGCATGACCTCCTCTGGGACAACTCTTACTCTGGGCCCCAAGCAGCCCCTTCACCCCCTACCACTTACCATCATCATGACTCCACTCTCTTGTGTGTGTCTGGGGCACCACCCCACCCTGGAATACAAGTGGGGTTCATCTTGTCCCAGCCCACCTCATCCCCTCACCTCCTTAGGCTGGTGTCTAGGAGAGCACAGGAGAAAAGGGCCAGGGACCCGGCCGCTCCAGAGCTCAGATAGGCCTTTCCGCCCCAGCCAAGGAGCCCTATCTTCCAAGCCAACACCATGGTCCTGGGGTGGTGGCAGCTCCTTGGGGGTAGGCGACCTCACCAACAGGCACATGCAACAACTAGCCAGGGCTAGAACAGTATCTACTGAAGCTGGAAGATGTCCTCATGGGGCAATTCAGGAGTTCCCAGAGACAGAGGACACAGACAGAAGCTGCAGTGTAATGTTACCTTCCTCAGGTACACTGCACCCAGGCTACACAGGGTCTCACACAAGCACTCACAGCAACACTGACACACATGCCTAGGGTCTCTCTCGCATGTACAGCAGAGTCTGTGCCACACAGGCTCACACACTGGACACTCCGCCCAGGCACAGAGGGTCTCTCGTGCACACAGACTTACACACAAAGGCATATACAGTGTTTCATATAAATGCTTGCCACTCACAGTGATACACTCAAACACACCTTGAGTCTCACACAATGCATTTCTCATGCATGCAGTCTCTCTCTTAAATACATATACTCTCCCACATGATCTCATTCACACACACACATGAGCCCACCTCTCAAAATACACAGAATCTGACCCTCACATCCGCAGTTTCTCTGGCAGGGACCTCTTGTACAGTCACAGTCTCACCACACACACGTGTGCATCGCCCAGTGTCTCACTCACATACTTTCATTCTTATACATATGAAGTCTCTCATACCCTCACAGAACTCTTACACAGATTCTCTTTCACACACACAGCTTTTCTTCCACACATGCGTACAATGTCACACATAGGAGACTCTGCTCTAGAACCTCAAATAAAAATTGAAATCCTGGCCCACCAATCTGAGGAGGCTTAGAGCCTGTGGGGAGGGAGGGGTAGGCAAAGGTGACAGTAGTAGCGACAGAGCAAAGATGGAGGGGAGGAGGGCGGGCAGCTGCTGGGCTCTGAGCAGAGCTGCAGGAAGCAGCTGCAATGCAGCTAGGCGGGCAGCAGTGGGAGCCGGGTTCTAACCCCAGCTCTGCCCTCAGGCTCTGGGTGCCCTTGTTGGCCTCAGTGTCCTCTCCTGTTACCCAAGGGAGTGGAGTCAGAAGGGTCCACAGCCTTTCTGTGAGTGAGACCAGGGGGAAAGAAAGTGGCACAGATATGCTGAGAGGGACACGTACCTCCGCCTGCATCCCAGATCACCTCCCAACTACGCCTGACTACCCAGCCTGCCCGTGAGTCTGGACTCAGTGGGCCTCCGCTTGAGAGATCTGAAGACTTTCCCGTGCAATTTTGTACATCAACAAGACCCTCAGCCATACTAAGTGGCCTATTTGTGTCCACTGCACGAAGGCCACACCAAGCTTTGACTGCCCACTGGAGGAGATGGGCAGGGGAGGGGCTGGAAATGTCCCACTGACCTCTGCCTGCTCTGAAACTCAGGGACATGATCAGAGCCGTAATGCTGAGTATAAGGGAGTGAGGGCCCCAGCCTCTTGCTAGGGGTCTGGGAGGCTGAGACTCCCATGAAGAAGAGGGCCTACCCTTGCTTCCAGGGGCCAAGAGGAAGGAAATGCTGCCAAGGTCAAAGGCAGGCTGAATGAGCAGCTGCTCTAGCCCAGGCCTTTGCCCCGCCACCCCGCACACCTCCCCAGCATGGACAGCTTCAACCTCTCAGCCCCCTGCTCCAGCCCCTCCCCACAGCTCAGCACAGCCTCCAGTTACATAATCCTCTAGCTGTGGTGGCCTCTGCCAGGGAAGGAACAGAATAGGAAACCTCGGAGGGTCCCTGTCCCCAGAGGACTAGCAGGGAGCTGGTGGTCCTAGAAGGACAGTGTCCCAGGGGACTTGGGTTGAAGTCCTACTTGGTCTCCAACTCCCTAGGTGACCTTGGGCAAGATCTTCAGTGGCAAGATGAGTGGTCAGGTGTGTCCTCCCCCCATCTCCACCCACACATACACACACCTGTTCTACACTTCAAGGCAGAAGATTCTGACCTGTGCCCCTCCCTCACACACACACTGCACTTTTTTATCTCAGTAACAAATCTGCCAAGTCTCTGACTGTATGGCCTTCCTCTGTCCTTGTACCCCTCAGGGACCCGCAAGTACCATTAGTCCACTGATCTTCCCTGCTCCACTCCCTGGCTCTGGCTCAGGTTCCAGGGGCAAGTTGGGCAGGAATGTGGAGCAGTAAAAGCCAGCAGGGCAGAGGCAGTGTTTTGCTGGGAGGAGGCAGGGGGTGGCTCCTGGATGGGGGAGGGGGTTTGCTTTAAACTTTGCCCCTCTTTGGTTCTCAGCAGGCCTCTGAGGGCAGAGCTCCAGAAGGCTAGAGCTTCTCTTCAGAAATAGCTGGCTGCTACCTCTTTTGGGCTCAGTGATGGATTGTCCAGGAGCAAAGACCCCGAGAGCCCACTGGACCCCCTCTTCACAGATGAGGACACTAATGCAAAGAGGCCATCTGAGGGACCAAGGTCAGCAGCAGAGTGTCCTTCTCCCTGGCAACCATCTGCTGTCACTAAAGGGGAGTGGTGCCTGTAGACTTGCCTACCTCAGACACCTTGTCCTTTCAGGACCTCCCTCAAGGTCTCCCTCTCTGTTCCCACCCTGACTAGTGACAGAGGAAACACAGACAGGAGCCCATGCCCCCCCTGCACCCCTTCTCCCTTTCCAGGAAGGGAGGCTCTGCTCTCAGGAGCAGATCTTAGGGGCATCACCAGGCCCCTGCCCAGAAGCCCAGCTCGACACCAACTTCCAAGCTATTAATCATTCATGTAGGTCCCTGGGACTGAGGTGGTCCCTAGGGAGGGGCTGATTGGACTCCAGCTGCCAGGAAGCCTGAGGCTCTCTTCCTGGGCCATCGCTGGCTCCTGATGCCCCCTTACCTGGGAAGGAGGAAAATCTCCCCACTTCTCTCCCATGCCAGAGGGCAGTTCACACCTTCACAGTGTACATCTGCAAAGACACAATGTGCACGAACGGGCGCTCATGCACACTCAAACATACACACATGCTCACTCAGTCCCACCCAAATACACACCACCACACTTACGTAAACATGCACACATACTCTATGCATACACGCAAATACACCCATTCATACTCACTCATACATATTAAGTACAGCAATACAGACGCTGAGTCCTATACACACACAGCCAGTCACCTGGCAAAGTCACCCTCTCATTCACACACTTGCACACATCCCTCCTTCAGCTCTGAACTCCCTACGCGCCACTTTTCCAGCCCACCTCTGCCCGCTGCAGGAAGAGGACGCTATCTTGCCACCCATCTTCCGGGAGTAAGTCGTCACTTACCCGCGCGTAGCGGGACGAGTAGGGGTCCTCGAAGAGCGCCCAGATGCGCGGCTGCCAGCGGCGCCAGAAGCCGCCGGGCCGGCCATCCGGGGAGTCACTGAGCGCCAGGCGCTTGGTCATCTCCAGCTCGTCCTCGCC